CCTTTCTTGTTTTTTCGTCCCTCTCGCATTAGATTTAGGGTCTCAAAAGGACGTCATCCATAAGATTTACTTGGTGTGGCCTAAACTGGTCTATTGGTGATTCTACTGGTAGAGATTCCGATCGGACTCTTTGAGACTCCAATCAGAATGCTATTAATGTGTTAGTGTGGTTTCCCATTTACAATTCCTAACTTTCAAGTCAATCCATTAATCTAAAGTGACATGCATCAAAGTTGAAAAGTTCTGACTGTCCTTCATCTCAAGGATACTAGCAGACGATATGTCAAACTACATACAAATGCAGCCAAAGGGATCATGAGTTATGTAGCTGCAAATGTATGGACATAAGGCCACACCAATTTAATTTGTTGGTTCTTGGACTCGCCTCTTCGTTTTTTTCTGATTTGCAAAAAAAAAAAAAAATTGATTCTGGTCCTGAATCAACTGAAAAATACTCATGTTTTGCCCCCCAACAGTTGAGGAAAGTCCTTTTCGTCCTAGTTGTTACAGTTTTCCCATCTATCATTGCAGTGGTTTGATTAAAAGTTCAAAATTCAATGTTTAAATTTTAACCCAGCCTTTTGTGTTGACTTCATGGCTCATTTTGTAGCATTTAAGCCTATAATAGAATGCCTAGACCTGTTTTTATTTTTTTCGCCCTGTCGCTTCATATTTTTTCTGAAAAAATCTGAGAACCAACAAATTAAATTGATGTGGCCTAAAGGCAACAAGAGTGGACTCATCATTTTCATTTCTTCACATGTTCGTCTCTAAAATGTCCATTGGGATTGATTTTGGCATTTTACGAAATTAGTATCGTTTTCCAATATTTTTTTCGCAAGTTAAGGCATATATTTGCTCATTTTGCAGCTGGTTTTTACAATTTACAGTATGGTCGAAACATTTTTTTGGAAGCGGACGAAAATTCATGCACGTGAGATGGCAATCAACATAGCCTGATGGTGTAGTCTATCTTATTTAAAGTTTTGCTTTATGCTTTGTACCACCTTATAATTACATTCTACTTGCTGAAGTGAGTTTATAAATGAAAAAAATTCTTTCACCTTCCTTCTTATGTCGATATGAGTATGAAACACTACGTATAGTTGGTTACTGAAACAAGAATAGTAGTATAAGTAGTTGTAGTAGTAGTAGCAGTAGAATTAGTAATATGGTAGCACTAGTAGTATAGTAGTAGTAGTAGTATCAGCATGAAAGTTCATCTGAGTTGGTAAATTACATTGTGAAAAACTTGAACTTTTTCTCCAACTAAAAATTTGACTCACCAGAAATTTTCGACTGAATCACTCAGTCTTCCTCAGCTATCTGACCCAAATGCTGTGGACACGTGATTTTTCCCACGTGTGACGTCAGCAAAGGGTCAAAGGTTGTCTGAAGTCGATATCGCCCCCAGTCCCGGTAGTAGTAGTAGTAATAGTAGTAGTAGTACATGTAGTAGTAGTAGTAGTTTTAGCAGTAGTAATTATTGGTTAGAAAACACAGAACAACCTTTAGTACCGGATACTTGGAAACCCCATGTTATTTCATCAATTCATTATTTTATTATTATTATTATTATTATCATTATTATTATTATTATTATTGATGATCATGTTTCGGTTCTCTTTCCTATCGTTAGCAAGCGAAGTTCCTCGTCCCAACCTCCCCACCACCCTTACTACGCACGGTCACGAAGAAGCCACGTATGGCGGGTACGGACTGAGTAACGGAGCCATAGTCGCCATCGTCATCATCGCCTTCGTCTCGCTAGGGATCATCATCTTCGCCGCCGCCGTGCGCTACTCGCAGTTCCGCAACAAATTCCAAGGTGGCGCTGCTACTCAGAGAAGTATAGACTACGAGTACACGGAGAGCCCGGCGTACGAGTCTTCAGAGCGGGTGGCCCGGTTGGTGATACGGGACGGGAGGGCCATCATAACCCGTGGGTACATCCCTACACACAGCGTCAACGGGAGCGCCGGCGGTACGGAGGAACAAGCGGCCTCGGCGCAAGCTTTGAACGGAGACTGTTCCAGCGCAGCGAACGCTCAGTCAAATGGCCACGTGGTGCTACCGGCAAGATCTAATAAACCGAGTTTACAGCCGTTACTAGGCGACCAAAAGGGGAGTGACAGTGACCCGCCTCCTCCTTATGCCGACCTGTATCAAGTTTATGACCGTACATTAGATTCGTCACCTGTATAACACCAGGCTTGGACAAAACACTATGCTGACGTTATAGCACAAGTCTTTTTTGTGTAAAGATTATTGTACATTTTGGGTGTATATATCTGTATATGTTGCTGTGTTTACATATCGACGTGAAATTATGCTAATGTCTTCAAATATATTGAAATTTGGAATAAAATTGAAATCACTACGTTTGAACAACTCTTGGCCAGGCTGTTTTGTTTCTTTTCATGTTTACCAGAAAGTGTGAAAGGGTAGAATGTAGATATCTAAAATCAACATTATTACAGTAATATTCAAGAAACAAAATAGATGACATCATAGTTCAAGTACCTATTGAAGCTATCAACTTTCAAGATACATTAATGTCAAAATTTTGATGTCTCTAGATACTAGTAAGGCCACACCGACTTAATTTTATGGATGACATCCTCTGAAGACCCCCAAACTAGTGCGCGCGGGCGAAAAAAAAATAAAAATCCGGCCAAAAATAAAAATGCTACAAAACCACGGGAATACAAACCTGGTATTGTGAATTTGGCGCATTACATAGCGACGTATACGACAGGCCGACACATGCTGGATTTTTGCGGAATATATGAATCGACACTGCTGTACGTATGTACTGAGTTCTTGAGTCTTGGAGCTTCGGTAGCCTGGCTGCCGTCAACCAGAGTTATCGCCACCATGCACTACCCAGGCCTAAAGCCAGGCCAGAGCCTCGGAATACGTGATCTTTTTTTTTTTTGAGATCAGGCGGAAATCAATGCGCGCGCGGATGTCATCCATAAAATTAAATCGGTGTGGCCTTAAAGTACAAATTGACAATATAAACTTTCAAGACACAATAATGTCAAACTTTGGTGTCTCCAGATAAACAGGAAAATTCCATACTACGGTACAACAGCGCCCTCTTGCAAACCATTATATATCTACAGAATGAGACGGTTGTATTTAAATTAGCTCAAAACATTTTGGGAGAAGATGCAGTGGTTGAAAAGACACCTCGCGGTCAACAGAATACTAGTAATTAAATCAGTACATAAAGATAATGACAATAAGTTATACATTGTAGCATAATACTACAAAAAAATTTCAACGATTAAAGTACTTGACACTTGGTATTATTTTATTTTTCTTTCAACTGTTGGTCACTTCAACTAACATGTACGATTATGCATGTTTCCTAGAAGCTGAGAACTTCTTTATCCAGCAGTAGTTCCCCTCTGGGACTTCTCACATTGGGAGGGAGCAGGGCGAGGTAGATTGGCGTTTCAGCTCCTGAAAATAAAATACTAGTAAGTCTCATTCAACAGATTTTAGGGCAGCAAAACTAGATTTTCGAAGTCGATTTTCGAAGTCAATTCCTGGTCATTCTTTCAATGTACATGTAGTAAAGTTGAATCAATCGTATCCAATAACGTACTGATATCTGTGAGGCAGAAATGCGATGTTGCTCACGGAAAATGGATGCTAGTGTTTTGTATCGAAGCCTGGTTCTTCCAAAATTAAGAGACCGCCTATGTAGCTTGTTCTGGGCTATGCATACGCTTAAAGTATGAAATGATGACGAAAGGGCAATAAATGTCAATATCAGACGGATTTTCTCAGCAAGAATACTTTTTTTTTGTTTTGCCGCATTGGAACGTCTTTAACGTAAATCATAATTTTGATGAATGATCTAATGGACATCAATGAGAAGGTTCATAAATCCTGAAAAGAATGTTGAACTTCTTTTCTTTGAAGTCTCCTCTTGATATTAAATATAAATAGATGTGTCGCAAACAAACCTTAGTACAATGCTGAACTTATTGTTTGTTATTAAGCTGAAAATATTTTAGATGACTGATGACTTATCCTGATGAAGATGACAGTGATCGTTGAAATTTTGATCCTTGTGTTCCCTTTGTGTTGGAATAAAGTTCAGCATCGTACTATGATTACTACTGACAACAACAGTACAACAGCGCCCCCTTGCAAACCATAATGATATTACATATATATTAACTTCTATGACAAACAAACCTTTTTCCACTGATCTTCCTGCGTTAGGGCCTCCCATGTCTGTTCTCACCCAGCCTGGACACAGCTGTGAGATAACAACAACAACTAAGTATAAAATACTGTAAACCAACAACAACTATGAAACAACAACAACAACAACAAAGAGGTAAAAGTAAAACATACAACAATTTCCCTTATCACTGACAGATGAAAATCTAATACATTGTTGTACATATTGAATTTCATAGACGTATAATACCATGCCGTAATATGACTGAAAAAAAATTAGTTGTATAGAGTAATGTACTAGGTACATCACTGCAGTAGGTATTCGTACACCATACAAAATGATAAGGCCTAGGAAAAAACGTTCTGTTTCCAGTTTTCCGACCAACCCTAGCCAAAACACTGACTGTATATAGCCTTGTTTTTGATCGATCGCATGTAAGACTAAATGAAAGTTTAAATCTAACAACTGAATTTCAAAACCCTCTGATTTCTGAAACGTTGATTCACGCATTTTCAAAACAATTTTCTCCTCAGAAAATCGTGTGAATTATTTGTTCACAAGCAAACAGGTGGATGGGTCTCTGAGACAGTCCTGATGCATTGTTAAAATTTTGTTACCTCATTTTATCTTTAAAAAATTCAAAAGACGAAAATCCCTACCTACTGACCCTAGTTTTTCATGACTGAAACTGGAAACACCACATTAATTTTTCTAGGCCTTAGAACAATGTTCTTACAGCATTGACGACAATGTCTGTTCCTGGATTAGCGTCAAACTGCCTCTGAAGCACCCTGCTCAGGGCTGTCACTCCCATTTTGGACACACGATACGCTGTAGTAAATAAACAAGACTTGTTGATTGTTAAATTTGATCCATTTATCAAAATAACATGGACTTACAACATACATTAATTTTGCTCATTTTGCGGGCTGCTTTGTACCATTCACAGTATGGTCGAAAATCTTCTATTTTAAAAGAAATTACAATTTATGCGTGCGGATAATATACTTACATCGATATTGCCTAATATGGTTAGAATGAAAAGATTTTCAACAAATGATATACATTGTACTTATCCACTGAACAAAGACAAGAGAAAACATCCCTTACCTAATGTATCCATCTTCCATCCCTTCTCTTCATGTACACCTGACTTCACATCACTAAGATACACAAAAACGTGTCAGAGTCAGTCACTTGCCAAGGAGGTTATCTCTCACTCTCTCACTCTAGTATATAGAGAGTAATATAGCCCATCTGGGCAAGAACATGCAATGAAGATTCATATGTGCGTGCGTGCGTGTGTGTGTGTGTGCTATATACTAGTATATCGACTTCACTGCATGCCCAACACACTACATATGTATATGATAGTTATGAGACAGGTTCAAAAACGGTAAAATTTAGCCAAATAGGGGAAATAACTGGCCAGGGGCATCGTAGAGTTGCCTGCTTCCCAGGGGGAAATTAAACCCTAACGGTGGACCCACTCCCCGGCCAGTCAGACCATATTTCTTGCAGAATTCCACCACCCTAACCACCTTTAGGAAGGCCTGATAGAGTAGCAATACCAAGCGCATTGTGTCACTATCACACGTGTCACTACCACACAAGCAACCCACTTGAAATAGTGCGATGCTGATTTTTATTGCAATATAAGGGTACACATTACTACACAGGGGTAAAATTTTCAATGACTACTGTCACCTTCATCAGGATAAGTAATGACCAATCACATAATCCATGAGATTATTAGATTCATTGTGTGGATACAAATGAGCGCTTGATGTTGTTTTCAGCACCAAGGACAGAGACCTTATACACACAAGACTTTATGGCGTGATGTCAGCAATTTTTGTGTTCGCTGGAGTGTCCTGATGTAGATAGCCTCTGTTGTACCTTTAAAAGAATAGTGGTTGTTAAAAATTTGATCCTTGTGTACCATTGTGTTGGAATGAAAAAATGAAATTCCCAGATAGACAACATGATTTAGTGATGGTTGGAGTGCCCTGATGTAGATAGCCTCTGTTGTACCTTTCAAAGTTGTTAAAAATTTGATCCTTGTGTACCATTGTGGGGAATTAAAAAAATTAAATTCCCTGATAACCAACATGATTTAGTGATGGCTGGAGTGCCCTAATGTAGATAGCCTCTGTTGTACCTTTCAAAGAATAGTTGTTGTTAAAAATTTTAGCCTTGTGTACCATTGTGTTGGAATTACAAGAAAAAAAGGAAATTCCCTGATAACCAAACATGATTTAGTGATGGCTGGAGTGCCCTGATGTATGTAGATAGCCTCTATTGTACCTTTCAAAGAACAGTCGTTGCTGAAAAATTGATCCTTGTGTGCCATTGTGTTGGGACAAAAAAAATTAAATTCCCTGATAACCAACTTGAAACTTGAAAGTTTATTTAAATATCATATTACCTTGTGCCATCATTACTTTTACCATAATTTCTTCATCTCCTCCCCATCATTACCTGATGAACTGTTCCATCAGTTGTACCAGGTCTTCTTCCGTCAGCTGTTCTGATTGGAGGGTCTGTCTGAGTGGAGGGGTGACGTATGACAGGCCTCCCATCATGCTGCTCACATTCACTATCCTGACAGGAAACAATGTAATCACTATGATTATGAAAAACTTAAACTTTTCTCCAACTCGAAATTTGACTCTGAGTCACCAGAAATTTTTGACTGAATCACTCAGTCTTCCTCAGCTATCTGACCCAAATGCTGTGGACACGTGATTTTTCCCACGTGTGACGTCAGCAAAGGGTCAAAGGTTGTCTGAAGTCGATATCGCCCCCCGTCCCGGTTGAGCGATGGTTGAAGTGCCCTGATGTATATGGCCTCTTTTATGCCTCTCTTGAAGTAATCCTGTTCGGTATCCAAGATTCTGACCCCCTCCAGGTCCACTGTGTGTCCCAGTGATTCTATGTGGATGTACCTCAGATGCAACAGAACTGGGTCGTCTATGTTCTAGAAACCTGGTTTTTAGTGAGCGCTCAGTAATGTAATCACTAGAAAGGTGAAGCAAGTGCTCTGTTCATCGTTACTCAAACACATTTAAAGCTAAAGCACCAGTTCCCATGGTGAAAGACGTCGGGTCTAGGTCATTGACCTTAAAGTAATATTTGTTTGAAATGGAAGAAGAAGAAAAAGGAATACTGAGCAAAAACAATAATCATATTTTCCTTCTGTGAAGGAAGAAAGTCTAGATACAAAAAATCCTTGTGCGAAGGAAAACATAATACACACATCTGTAACTGCTACCCCATGTACCCAAAATCTACAATAAATATGTCTTTTCATCTATCATGATATCTAACAAAAAAAGCTCAACAGTTCCAGTTTCAAATCATAATCTAGCTATATATACAGAAAAATTGTTGCTCAGAATATCAAGTTGGTTAGTATAGCAGTATAGTACCTGGCATGAGGTCTGAGCAGTGGCGTCAGCACCTTGGTGAGGTTCAGTGTGCCGAAGAAGTTGATACTCATGGTAACTTCAACTTGTTCCACCAATGGCGTGGGATTGCTACGCTGTGTACAAATGTATTAGAGAGAGACGTTGCAAAAACAGTCCACAATACTGCGCGTAATAAATGCTAACTAAGGCCTCTTGAATTCAGCTCCGACTGCAGTAGTCATTGTATGGCCTAACGGCTATAGAAATGGAGTTGGGCACAGTTCGACTGCGTTATGCGGACAGCTATGTGAGAGCAGATTAATTTTTCACTTTTTACCTTGAGTTTTTAAAAACATATAGCCGTGAAAAAATAACTAGTAACATTGTGTTAATAACTTGTGCAAGCTACCCAATTGCCTGCTTTACGCATCTCTTTTTGCACCTCTAATACTAAAAGTGTGTTTAATTTGCATTTCTGTGCTTTTTCCGAGATACATAAAATGCAAAATGCAAAATATGGGCCAAGATTGGCTTGATTGTGCTGACCTTTTTAAAATGGGGCCTTGGAATTTCAAATGTAACACTAGAATTGTGCATTACAATTCATTGTAAACGTGTCTGTTAGCCTATACTACGTTATTGCAACTACAATCAGATAAGGTCGTATTTTGGTGTCACAAGCACTTTAATTAATCTCCAAGCAGATCCCTCTCGGTGGCAAAAAGACAGTATCAAATTGGCCAGGCAGTATCCATTAGCCAAAGAAGGTCCGCGGCCACCGACTGGGGTCAGGACAAAAAAAACCCGGCCATATATAAAAATGTAACGATCATTCCCCCACAACCTCTGCTTGGAGAGTATCCCTTTAATTAAGTTGGTAAAAAGTACCAAGGTTTGCATGCATCTCGACCACCAACTCAAAGAAGATGCCATGATTATAAAAATATTTTTACAGTAACACCATGAACCAAAAGTGCCCAATAGCAGCTGATGGGAAAACTGCACCCAAGGAATTTTCAAGCAAACAAGAAATGTGATATCTAGAAATGAACAAGCCATTATTACGTCTTATTGATTTTAATATTCAAACAAGCTAGTTCCAGACAATCAACACGCCCAGATTGCGTCAGACTTATCCAAGCTTGTTTGTCAGAGTAGCTTCAGTACGGAACAGCTATCCAGAGCCCACATCGGAGAGCCACAACTGCCGAAAGACTGTGGACAATAAAGATATACACTAACTGGCTTGCAAGGTAAGTTTTGGCTGGACCTTCAGGTAAGTGGTAGTATTTTTTTCGTGCAAATATGGAAGAAGAGTAGTATCCACCAGACTCTTTTGCAGGCTGAATAAATAGTAGAAATCGGCCTACTGTAAAAGAATGGCCAGGGGCCATGCAAGCAAAATGGACCCTCTATGGCCGGCCAACTCCCCTGATCAGCTATTCTCTTTAGGCCAATTTTGGCTACTAGTACTTATTCAGCCTGTTTAAGAGTCTAGTGGACACTAGTAAATAACTACAAGAGACATTGGCAATTGGGTACTATGCATAACTTTTTGGGGGGTTAGATGAAGCAAGAAGTTTTCCTACATTTGTACATCTAAACACAAGAAAATATTTTATCGTAAAAAAGAAAATAAAATGCCAAAGTACAATATTTCTGATGAATTTAAAAATTTCCACGTGGAGGAGCTCAATGAATTCACAAAAAAAGTCAATATTATATGCTTCTTCCACTAAATTCTAAACCTCCAAACCTGAGGTAAAAATCGTCTCAAAGCGTCAGCAAAATGTACCAGATCAGTGAGTAAACAACACGTTAAACATGAATATTCAAAAACACCAAATCAGACAATCAACCAAAATTATAAGGCCACAGCAAGTATACATATGGATGACATCCTCAGCAGACTCCAAATCTAGTGCGATAGGGGGAAAGCGGGCCCAAAAAACAAGGTTTCTACATTTTCAAATTTTCAATTGCTGTGGCTCAAGCAGGGTTGCACGTAAAATGGATGTTTTTAAACTTCTTTCTTAATTTTAACTGAAGATAATGCAGAGCTTAATAGCTTTTAGAAATAAAGTAGGAAATATGAAGGTAGGTAGACTCAGACTGATTTAAAACAAGGTATAATGGTGTAAAGGTATAAAGTTAACTTAAAAGATAGCAACTACATAACATTGTACCTAGTATGAACTATAAGTACATTTAATTTTATTTGTTCCCTTTTCATGGCAGAGAAGGAGCTCTAATAAGAGAAAAATGTAGTTGGAAGATGACATTGGGTTAAAAATTGCTTCTGAATAATAGTCTACCATCAGTGATTGTGCTTTCTTTGTTTTTATTCTTATTCGCCAAGAAGGTTATGTTTTCAGTAGCGTTTGTCCGTTTGTCTGTGAAAAGCATAACTCAAGAAAACAATTATGCATTGTCAAGAAACTTAGTAGGTGGGTAGGTCTTGATGGGGCCTAGAAATGATTAGATTTTGGGCACCCTGGCGACTTTCCTTGGATCTGCAGAATAACTTCTGGTTTTGATATCTCGCGATCTGGACATTACTAGGGTCATTAATTTTGGGTGGTAGATAGCTCTTGTGCCATTAGTTTTGTACCCCTAGCAGATTGTCCTGAAACTGCAGGAGCATTTTAAAATCTGATTGTCGTGATGTTTGGTATGTAGGTACTAGTAGTGTATGTACATGTAGGTAGTGGAAGTTATCCTTGACATAAGTAAATAACAATAATGCAAACCAGGATCAAATTTGCATAATCAATGAGGAAATTATATTGATCTTTGTTCTATGAAAGGACTATGAAACCTGTCACATACGTAATAAAGAACAAGAGGATCATTGGCAATGCAGATGAGCAACTAATTTGCATAGTTAGTGGGAAATTGCTATTATGTCATAATGGTTACAAATTTATCATTTGCCACATTTGTAAGTTAAGTGAAGGTGAACATCATTAAACATAACTTATTCAAGTAATTACATTATTTGCATAATGTATGAGGTGTTAGAATAGCGTTCTCTCTTGAGACTGTCACTGGGTGGAGAATATTATCAACTGATATGATTTAGGGAAATGAGGCTCTTTTTTGAGAAATCAATTAGTAAAAATGTATAATTCACCCACCAGAAGGGTTAACATCATGCCGAAGGTGCAAGGTCGCGTGGAACATGAGGTATATTTTATTTTTGATTTTTAATTTTTGATTTTATCTTATTTCTTTACTTTTATTTATAACTCAGTTCCTGTTGTTTTTTATGCAGACCAGAGGACAATATGGGAAGAAAGCTGCGACACGTGCTGATTTTTCTTCTCATCATCCTGAAGGAGCCCAACATGCCAGAAGGTGGCCCCATCTGTGCAGCATCATCGCAAGGCAAATGCTCCAACCTGGGCCTCACCAGCATCCCTCAGAACCTCCCATCATCCATTAACAAGTTAGATTTAAAAAATAACCAAATAACTAGAATTCAGCCTGGTGCATTGTCAAATCTACATGCGCTTTCCTATCTGTACCTGAACTCCAACAACATAACCAGCATTCAGGCTAATACAATTTCAAATCTAACAAAGTTAGAAGTTTTGGATCTGAGTTCGAATAGAATAAACAGCATTCAGGTTGGCGCATTCTCAAATCTAACCAATCTTGTAGAACTGTACCTGTTCTACAACAATATAAGCAGTATTCAGGCGAATAGAATCTCACATCTAACAAACTTAGAAGTTTTAGACCTGAACTGGAACAGCATACACAGCATTCGTGTTGGTACATTCTCAACTCTGCCCAAACTCAGATGTTTGCACCTAAACTCAAACAAGATAACCAACATCAAGGTTAGCACATTCTCAAAACTACCCCAGCTTGAAAAATTGTACCTAAACTCCAACAACATAACCAGCATTCCGGTTGGTATATTCTTACCCAAGCTTACACGATTGTACCTGAGATGGAATAATATATCCAGCATTGCAGTTGGTACATTCTCAAATATATCTGAGCATTTCTGGTTGGACCTTGCCTTCAACCAGATATCCAGCATTCAGGCTGGTGCTTTCTCAAATTTACGTAAGCTTGATCTTTTGCGCCTTAAATTCAACAAGATCAGCCACCTTCAGGCTGGCATGTTCTCAAATCTACCCAGCCTTAGACAATTAACCCTAGACTCCAACAACATAACCAGCATTAATGTTAACACTTTCTCAAACTTACCACAGCTTCGCCAGTTGAAACTGAATGACAACAAGATAACCTTCATTCAGGCTGATACATTCTCAAGTCTACCCAGGCTTCGCTGGTTGTATCTCGCCCGCAATCCCTTGCAGTGTGACTGTAAGATGGCTCCATTCAGGCAAACAATGATTGAAAGTCCTTTGGTTCTAGACCAGGTAACATGTGCCCAACCTGCCAACCTCTCAGGGCAAAAACTTAAAGATGTCAGTCCCAAGGATCTGATCTGTAAAGATCCAAGCAAATCAACATCAACTGTTCATGCCCAAAACTCAATTAGCTCATCTGCAGTGTCAACACCTTCATTGAGTAATACAGAAAACGATATAAGCCTAACAGGACATCCTATAGGCTCCACATTTGCCACACTGATCGGTAAAGACCAAACCAAATCAACACCACCTGTTGATGCCCAAAACTCATTTACTTCGTTTGCAGTGTCAATATCTTCATTTGGCAATACAGAAATTTGTCACAATTGCAATGGCATCTCTCACTATCACTGGTACTTCAAACGCAGCGTTGACTCAACAGTTGACACTGAATGGAAAAGGTCGACAACTCCAACCCTTGCTGTCACTGCTGGTACTGCCCATGAATCTGATCCCAGTTTCCCCCTAGTACCGGTTGTCATTTCGGCTGTTGCTGGTCCAATGATATTTATCGCTGTTATTTTCACAATCTGGTGCAAAGGAAAGTGGAGCAATCCTGATTCAGGTTTGAACTCCAATTTACCTGCTTTGCACAACACAAGCACCGCAGATGCTGTAAGTAGTGGTCCCGATCACCCGGAGTACGAAGATATAGACCAAAATAATCAGGCAGGGCAGGGCCAGTCTCAGGCCATCACTGGACCCAACATAAAAACACCCGTTATTGAAGTGTCAGCATGTGGTCATGATCCCAAGTATGAAGATATGAACGAACATGATCAGACAGAGCCGAATGCCCCAAACTCAAGTACTAGTACATGTACTGAATCATTGGACAGTAAAAGTCCATTATATAACGCAGGGCAAACTGCCGTAAACACGACCACTGACTCCTTGGACAGGAAAAGTTCATTATATGTTGACAGCCACTCCATAGAGCATGGCAAGTCTATCGGACCATTATACAACTCGGGGCTCAATGCCACAAACACAACCACTGAGTCCTTGCACACTAAAAGTCCATTGTGTAACAGAGGGCTGAATTCCTGCTCAAAACTGAATTCTCACTTCAAAGTTGAAGACCAGTCTCAGGCCCTCCTTAATTCCAACACACACACTGTAATGACCAGAGGTCATGATAAGGTAGTACAGGGACAAGACCCTAACCCTAACCCTGACCCTAACCCTGACCCTAACCCTAGCCCTAACCCTGACCCTAGCCCTAACCCTAACCCTAACCCTAACCCTGACCCTGACCCTAGCCCTGACCCTAGCCCTGACCCTAACCCTAACCCTGACCCTAGCCCTAACCCTGACCCTAACCCTAGCCCTGACCCTAACCCTGACCCTAACCCTAGCCCTGACCCTAACCCTGACCCTAGCCCTAGCCCTAACCCTACCCCTACCCCTACCCCTACCCCTACCCCTAGCCCTAACCCTAGCCCTAACCCTAGCCCTGACCCTAGCCCTAACCCTAACCCTAGCCCTAGCCCTAATCCTAGCCCTAACCCTGACCCTATCCCTAGCCCTAGCCCTAACCCTGACCCTGACCCTAACCCTAACCCTAACCCTAGCCCTAACCCTGACCCTAACCCTAACCCTAGCCCTAGCCCTGACCCTAGCCCTGACCCTAGCACTTTTCAGACCATCACTCAATCCTTGGATATTAGAAATCCATCACATGATGCATTGTTAGCTGCCCTACAGCCAAATTGTATGTATGTAAGTGCAAAAACACCAGAAGGGGACCCTGCGACTACAGAAATAGCCAGTGGTTATGATCAGACAGAACAGGGTCAGTCTCAGTTCATCACTGAATCCTTGGATATTAGAATTCCATCACATGATGCATTGCTAGCGGCCCTACAGCCAAATTGTATGTATGTAGGTGTGGAAACACCAGCAAATGACCCAGTCACTGCAGAAATAGCCAGTGGTTATGATCAGACAGAGCAGGGCCAGATCTTAGGTCATCACTCAATCGTTGGATAGTAGATTTCAGTTTTCAGATCCAGAATGCTAGCAGAAAATTGTCTGAAGTTTGTCAGAAGAAATGAGCAAGACTGGAGTTTGTGAGTAGATATAACAGAGACTACAGTGTTTTCCTGAAAATTTACATGAAAGTAGGCGGCACAAAATTTGAGTAGGCAACAATTTTTGCCAGTAGCCGGCTTGTTTTGAGAAGGCTGCGGCATCTTAGAGATGTGTTTGACAATTCTTGTGACAGTTCATAATAATGTACTTAGTTTACATGACTGTAATGCCAATTTGCAGGCACATCTGTAAAGCTTTGAGATTTAAGAACGATCTTCAGAAGAAGTTCTCATCTACAACGTACTGGTAACAATTCTTGAGACAGCACTTAAAGTTTACATTTGTACATGGCTACAAACTGCCATTTGCAGGTCTATTTGTCACTTCAACTTCTAGTCAATAAAGAAAATCAACACACATTACAGAGGCTATTTTATTCACTTTATTTTGAATATCGGGTGAAGCTTGTAGATTTGGAATACACATAGAATACAAATTCTATGTTTATTATTTATAAACTGTAACAAAATCCATTTCCTTACCCCGTACATCACCCCAGCATTGTTGACCAGCACGTCCAGCCCTTGGTGCTCTTGTTCTAGATGTTGTTTGAACCTGTGGATGCTATCCAGCGACGAGACATCTAGTTGATGAAACCTGGGCTGACAACCCTGCTTGTTTAACTCTTTCACTGCTTCCTGCCCTCTATTCTCATCTCTCGCTGCAAATCAGGGTGGAGTTGTGCAATGCAAATTATGTAAATGAGGATTTAATTTGCATAACTGACAGGGAAATATAAAAATTCCATTTGTCAGTAATGTACCTTAAGTTTATCCAACTTTCCATTCTGTGCTCTAGCCAGGACTCTATAGCCAGCACCCATTAATTCTGTAGATTGCAGGAACTTTGTGGTGTGTGACACAAAAAAAATTTAAACATTGCATCAACCTTTAATGGACAAAATTGACAATAATCTTGGGTGTAAATATCAAATCCATTTAAGGGCAGCCAACAACCACTCTTAACCCCATGATTTGCCCCTCAAATAAAAAATGTGGGAAATGATGTTTTCAAAGGCATGAAAATTTGCCCACGGACCCCCCTACTAGTAGATTGCGAGCACTCTCCCACTGGCTAGAGCAATGATTCCATCATAGTATTGTACTATAAATACTTTGAGGATAAAACCAAGCATATTAATGATATGCATCATAGATATGACCGATTGCAAAAGTCATTACAGGTCAAAAACAGCAATACTTACCAGTAAGATACACCGTCCCATCAAACTGCTTGCACAGCCCCTTGACTATGCCTAGGCCAATACCCTTGTTTGCACCTGTAACCTAAGAAGAAAAAGAGCTGAGATGGAATTCGAATGAGAAAATACATTATCTTAAGCGTCGAAGAATCCACTGGATTAAGTTGGCAGTCTCTATTAGGAAGTTAACACCAGTGATGAACCGGGACAAGGGGGGATACAAACTTTAATAGTCACATTTGGGACTGTGTTCTCACCGTAAAAGTGCCATTTGCTATATAGATGTAAGAAGCACTTTAACTCCAGTCAGAAGCTCTGACGCAGATGTCTGACAGACATCGAAACATATCATGCAGGTGAGAAACATTACGGATTATGAATAGGCGATCTGAGTTGGCTGATGTGCTATCCAGCCCAAGTATACAGGCAAGGTAGCCAGGCTGGTCAGACACCCGGCCTTTTCCGTAAACCCAAAAATTACCAGTTGTGTAAGGAAAAAGAATCCGTATATCGGATATCCTAAGCTTGTTTGCATAAATGAAACTATATCAAATGCACATACATGGGGAATATAGATGTCAATGATAGTCACCATTACTCATAATAGTAGTTCTACTTTCAAGAATCATTCAATGCAAGTCAGCTTTGGACCACGACCATGTCTGGGCTGGGTTTCGTTACGGTCTGGAACGCATGTGACACCTATCAAGTTTGACTTTGAGATACCCGGAAGTGATGGTACGAAAATGAGAACACGCTAACTTACACGAATCTGAGCCTTTCAGCAAAATAAAGGCGTCTCCTAAAAGAAGACGTTCCCGTCTGTTAATCTATTCCGTATATAAAGAGATAACGAACTCTTAAAGATGCAAACTTAATTGTTTTGCGACCGACTTACCACTGCCACTCTGCTCATCTTCAAAGTTTCACTAGGTCAGAGGTCAGAACTTGGAAGAAACGATTCAATCAAAAAAGGTAAGTTCCCTAGAAAGAGAAGAAAATAATAAAGTGCCAAAACGAGTATAAAATACAACTGAATAGACATGTTTTATGGTTTATGTATCTTCTATAATATCTTAGACTTTTGATTTTAAAAAAAGTCTAATATGGTCTGCAAAATTTGATTTTATTTCAAGAACTCAAAATAGCATCGTCCAATGCTGGTCTCGCGAGATTTGCCGCCACTCCGAGAGTTCAAATTTCAGATGAAAAATGGCGGCAGAACTTCACGATTGAGCAGAAGTTGCACGACGTAACTCGTGCGAATATCTGTTTTACACGGATGTAGGAGTCGCTGTCAAGAGTTAAGTAGGTAAGGAAACTAACGGTTGACCTGCTTGTCATTTTGTGGTGATTACTTTTGTTCGCTGAATGCCGATCTCTTCAAGCAAAGCCGGCCGATCCAGTCATGAAGCTAGAAAACAAAACTCTCAACTTGAGCCTTGATGATACTTTTGTGTGCCATGCCATGCGAGAATTATGTTCAAGTTTACGTAGAATTTGTGCAGTTGGTAAATCTTTGGCAAGAAACGAGTTCCAACTCTCAGTCTGTTTTGATTATGATCACACGTGCCTCCTATGTGTGTCCTATCTTTCTGGCTTTTGTAGCTGTTTCTTGAAGGGTCAGCCTATTTACCGGAATACACAGAAATACACCAGAATACACATAAAGTCTGGTGAAATCTACCAGAATACACCATGCATTAATGGGTTACAGTAACTTCCCAGGTTGCTGTATTTTGGAATAGGATAACGTATACATGACCCAGGGATCAAGAAATCATTAGAATAATTTGTTTACCTTGTGGCAATGTTCTGTTGACGCTGGTGTAAAATAAATATGCAGTGTATTTTACTTTTTGTATGCTTTTGTAACACTTATATTCATAATTGTCCCATCAGCCTTAGAATTAAAACCAAATGCTCATTTGTTTATCATTTAATTATTATATATAATATTAGTGTCCATTTGTGTTTTGCTTGATGACAGCATAAAAATAATTTGAAAAATGTGGCCTCTGAACACCATACATGTATTTTGTCATTGAATACTTAGTATATTGCAATGAACTAAAAAAAATTAAGGCATTGATTGATTTAACATTCCTGTGCCCTCACCATGTCTTGTTGTTAAATATTGCAATTAGAAAAAATATTTAGGCATTTTTTTTATTGATTTTAACATTTCTGTTTTTTTTTTGTCTATGTGACGCAGGTACAGTTTACCTGTGATGATGGCTTCCAATCCTCTGTTCACCGGACCCAAACCAGGCAACCCCCATCGCCCCGGCATGTTTACCTACAACAGGCCTGCAGGAAGACCAAACAACATGGCCGCCACCGCGTCCTCAAACTGTGACGGCAACGGAGAGACTCCCCGCAAAAAGGCCAGACTGGATGCCAACGCTGCGGAACCCGGCTTCAACGACACTTTTGCGGACGACGACGAATTTCTGACAGCTGACGACTTGGACCAGATCGATTTCATGGCGTCGCAAGCGTACAGCCAGGCTGATCCCGCGGTATCGGCGACAACCGAATCTCGGCAAGCGAAGCACAACGGCTATTGTATGGGCCAAGCGTCTGCCGGTGCAACACGAAACCTTGTCCAGAGCAACGTGCCCAACTTCGATACCCTCGCATCATCCTCTCGTGTCACAAATAACGTTTTGCACGGCAGCAGACAACCGCAAAACGCGGCCGGAAGACGGCAGACCCAGGGGAGCACAAGTGGAGTGAGCAGCAGTGCGGGCTCCTTCACGTTTAAGTCTGCTAGCGGTAGAACAACGCAAGTTTCAAGCAGCAGTGTGCTACCACCCAAGTGTAGTGATGTAAAACAAGGTGGGTCATCCGTTAGGACGATAGCTCAAAACTCTAGGGAGGTGGATTTGAAGAGAAATGGAGGAGGGACGAGTTTTAGGCAGATGGGAGAAGGACAACAAGTATCTGCTGCAGCTACAATAACAACAGGCAGCAAGATGGGAACTTCATCTACAACTACAAGGCAAGCAGGGACTGATATACACCAAAAAGAAATGGACAGGCTGAAGGCAGAGTGCGATAACTACAAAAAACAGGTGTGTAAATAAATAAATAAATAAACTTAGGCCACGTTGATTTCAGTTGTATGGATGACATCCTCATGTAGGGAACCCCAAAACTGATGCAAGGTTTGGCAAAAAAAGTTGCCTTCATTATGAATCAATTATAAATTATGCGATCTTAAAGGTTGAACAAATGTCTGACTGAACACACAGAGTATGATATGGCGAATTTTCCTTTCTTCACATTTTCTTCTCCTTTGGAATTGGCTTTGTCATTCTAGTGGACATCACTATTGCTTTTCAATATTTTTTTTGCAATATGTAGCTGCATTGTTCAATTTACAGTATAGTCAAAAACTTTTCTTTTTGGAAACAGACAAAAATTCATGCCCGTGCGGATGTCATCCATATATTAAATCAAATCAATATGGCTTAGCGTATTTGTTTTATTGGTTTCATGTCTTGAATATGCAAAGAATATTCAATGAATTACTGATTTTAAATACATCACTACTGCTTTTCCACCACAGTTGGCATCCCTGCAAGAAGATCAGTTTGGTAAGGAGGGAGAAATCAAGATACTCCGAGACTCCTTGAAAAAACACCAGGAGGAGATCGACCAGTTCAAGAAAGCCCGCCTGGAGGAGGAAGAAAAGAAGGTCCAGGCTCAGACCGCCAAGGAGAAGGAGATGCAGAAGGAGGTGGAAAGACTCAAGACGCAGCTTCAGTTTAAGGACGCAGAAGTTACAGAAGCTCAGAACGTAGTTAAGACCTTGGAGCAGAAATGTAAAAGACTAACGGAGGGGGGAAACAACACTTCAACAACACCTGTTAACAGCCCAAAAGTTGGAGGGATTCCGGCGAGGTTTAAGACTGAACTGAAGTCTCCGAGAACCCCTGCCAAGGGAAACTTTCCAACCAGGGAGTCATTCATGGAGGATAGTAATAAGAAAAGGTCACCAGGGCAGGTCAAAGGGGAAGGGTCAGGCGACAGCGTTACTCCAGAAAAGCATGGTAGGTAATATTACTAGTATTTAATCTGTTATCACGGCACTGTTTCATCTTGTGTCGAGGCCATGTTGATTTCATTATATGGATGTGTAAATCGTACAAAGCAGCTGCAAATGAGGTAACATGCCTTAAAGTGCTGCAAAATATTGGAAAACAATATTTATGCCAAAATTAATTCCAAAAGAAAAGAAGAAAATGTGAAGAAATGAAATGAATGGTCTTACTGACTATTATTCCCCATACCATTCAACCTTCACGGCCATGTAGATTACATAATGAAGGCAACTTTTTTTGCTAAAGCAGCTTTGGGGTTCCCAGAGGATGTCATCCATAAAATCAAATCAACATGGCCTGACCTGAGTGATATAGAAACTTGCAGCTGTTATATAATTACTATTGTATCTCTCTTCTATTGTCAATGACTTATTGACTTACATTACAATATGTATTTTTCAGGATCCCCAGTCAGAAAGTCGGAGTCCCCTGGGTTAAAGTCCAGACCGCTGCCCTCTCCTGGACAGACCAGCAGTACCAGTGAGGATCCAGCTGTGCCACAGACGGAGAGACCTCTAGCACTGGGACTGGGTATTGCAACAGGTCAGAGCATAATACAGTTAAAATAGTGATGACCCATGTCTTATGGCTCGAAATACTAGGTTTATGTGCAAAATTGAAAACGTGCATATGTAGACATAGTAGTATACACTAGGTCCTTGGTCCTCCACCTTGCAATATGTCAGCAGGGCTGAGATCCTCAGGGCTCGAAATTAACATTGTCCCAGTGTCAAATGACACTAAATTTTCAGCTCGGGACAATTCAAATTATGCTTCGGGACAATTTTGGGGCAATTGTAAAATTCTGAGACCGTCCACGTCATTTAGGAACGCAATCCATCTATCCTGCTGCGGGCCGCCAGCAGTCCATAATACTCTGACAAACATTTGAATTTGACCAGTCAGGATTTTCCAAATGTCAGGGAGGGGGGCCTGAAGATGGTGGCGCACCCATGATACTGTATTTCCCTACAGTCTGGGAAAAATGATGGATATTTACTAATATTATTTACTTGAACTGTTGAAGTGGACTTCAAGTTGTACAAATTCAGTTGTTGTTGTTTTTATTGTTGTCGCTTATTTCCTGAAAATCAGGCTGGGACAGTTCATCCTCAGTTCGGGACAATTGAAATCTTATTTTTGGGACAATTCTGGGACAGTAGAAAAAAAAGTTAATTTCGAGGCCTGATCCTTTTTTTGGTTACATGAAAAATTGTGTGCAAACAGCAAGTTGGTATTTCAAGCCCTGGTCAGTTTGATTCCTCAAAAGCTTTGGTTCTTAAGTGCAATAGTGCTTACATAGTTATGCTGTAAGTTTAAACTGTAATTTTCAACACAGAGAATTGGACTTACCCAAATTTTCGACTGTACAACTCCAGTCTTAGTCAAGGAATGAGCAATCCACCGCTTCCGTGATGTCACGTTATGAAGATGACACACGTGACTCCGTGAGCGGTGGATCATAAGTTGCAGAAAGTCTTACATAGTTGTGTTTAATTTCTGCACAGATGGCTTCTCAGGTCCACTCTTGATGCAGAAACTTCTACTCCCCGGAAACCTGCCAACATCATACGGCAAACAGGAGTCCAACGACGCTTCACAGGGCCTGCTCACCTTGTTCCAGCTGCACTGCCAAGTGGACCAGCCTGCCTCGGGCTCAAAGGATCATGGTCATCTAGGAAGTGCTCAGGGATCCAGGTAAGTACATACTGTTTACAGTAGTGTGACTTTTATATCATACTAAAATTAGGTAAACCAGAATAGCAGACATTTGTTCGGGAGCAAATACAGCATATTCCAGTCCATCTCCCTCTTCATTTGAAAATGGACTGTTCCATATCAACCTTTCCCGTATGTAGTGCTCTTTGATATGGAATGTTTCAATACCCCATGTAGTCCCCTTATACCCATGCAGTTAAATATTCTTGAAACCCCCATGCAGTGCTTTTCAGTATCAGGTGCTTTCAGAACACCCATGTAGTACTCAAAACCCCTATGGTATACCTATGGTATGAAATGAAAAGTAAGATTATTCATCCATACATGTACCTATGGTATGATTCTATGAATTATATGAATTATGAATAATGATTGCAATTTAAGTTGAACTGGAAATACATTTTGCTTAGAATTTTAGATAAATGTGACAGAACTCTGTTGTTTGCACCGTTGACTTTTGTGATTCACCATATAGAATGTCTTCTGTGTTGTTTCCATAGCAATGCTCAAGTCCCCACTTCATCTGTTACCAGTTCTACAAGTTTGACCGCAACGCTCAACTCCGAGCACCATAAACTGGCTCTACACGGGATGTCTCATCTTCTATCTCCCAAAAGAAGAGAAGAAGACAACAAACAAAATGTCCTTGACAAAGGCTCAAGGTCATCACTGTCAGCTCTGCTAAAATGTCGTCCCCAGTCAACAAAATCTGCGGTCTCCCTTTTCCCTATGATAGAAGATCACCTGTACCAGTACAGGGATGTCGTACAGACAAAGATAAACCATTCTTTTCTCACAAGCGTGGACAGCTCTACCAAAGGCAGTAGTTTTGAGGGAGCTTCCGTGGACTCTAGCAATTCCAGCGCCCCTGTTTCGGAGACTGTTTTGAGCTTCCGGCAGGCGAAAGAGGGAGCGGTCAATGCCCTAAGACTGTTAGAGAGGTTGTTGCTGTACTGTCCGGAGGCGGGAAATGTGCTGATGCAGGGATGGGTCAGTTTTCAGTCGCAGGAAACGACCTTGAAGTTGCACGAAAAGGTCAAAAGTAGTAGACGGCAAGAAGATGACGATGTCATGATTGTGGAGGAAGGAACAAGTATTCCCTCTTCTGAAAAGGTAAAGTACTTCAACCAACATGCAAATTAATATTAACATCCTTATTACAATTTTCTGCCTTTTCTTTCCTTTGTTTCTTAATTTCCTGTCCTTTTGGCTTCACCTTTTGGTACAGTATGTTTTCACAGAATAATATGAAAGCCGGGTCATACCCGGGGCATGTCTGAACATGGGCCCCGACGTTGTGCCCTTGGGAAAGGCACTTAACACAAATTTCCTCACTCCACCCAGGTGTGAATGGGTACCTAACTTCGGTTGGGGAAAGTTGTATTGAGGTCACCTGGCGCCGAATGGCTGCCGTATAGACCCTTGCGACAGTTCCACAAAATTTGTTGAACAAATATGTGTATCATGTGTATCATTTGATTGTTATGATTTGTCTTGATTATTATGTGATACCCTGCATCAATTCAGCTGCATAAAGGCTGCGACTGCATGGGTACTGTTTGGACAATAAAAACCATTTATTATTATTATTATTATTATTATTATTATTATTATTATTATTAAGCCTCAGTATTGTTGTGCAAGCACGTCTAACCTTTTGAAATCGGGGAACAACAAATGATAAACCGGATACACACATGTAGATAGTCAGTGAGTGAATATGATAGCAGGGCTCAAAATAGCATTATGTTGGTAGAAAAATTTACATGCACTTTAAAAAATCTACATGCAAACTTGAAGATAACTCTGAACTGTGAAGTTAGCCTTCAGTTTTCTTTACATATACAACAAGATGTGTGTACAATAAGAAAATCTCCCAAAACCAAGTTTTTATGATAGAGGGAAATTTTTTACCCTGTAGTGAGTGCACCCTGAGGAATTGATCAGGTTTTTGTGAATTTTGATAGAAAAACACCTTTGTGTTGGAATAAAGTTTTGCATCTTAGGCCACACCAAGTAAATTTTATGGATGACGTCCGCGCGCGCATTGATTTTGGCCTGTTTCTAGAAAAAAAACCAAGAAATTCCGCTTCCTGTAACTATGACCAAAGAGTCACGACAGTGCCGCAAATTGTTAGATTGACGTGAAACCCGTAACGCGAAATGGGTAAAGAGCACATGCTTTGTTTCTGCAGGCCTGCAAAAATGTGATGAAAGAAACAGGACAGGACGTCCACTGCTGTTCCACCTGAATTATTGCTGTTTTGATGATGAATAAAAGATTTCTTGCTTGTTAATCTGTGTCACCTCATTCAATTTGTGTCCTAACATTTGTTGTCTCTTAGTATATTTCTAATCTAGGCATCTTGTTTTTTTGGGCCTTCTTGTTTTTTTTCGCCCTCTCGCATTAGATATAGTGTCTCCAAAGGACGTCATCCATAAAATTTACTTGGTGTGGCCTTACTATAACTTGAAAAGTTGAATATCTTGCTTCTTTCCACAGAAGATGCAGACATCTACAGGTAGCACATCCACCATTACAGCAACAGTCTCCAGTTCTGAACAGACCACAGCGCCCCACCAACCTTCCCTCCCCTGGCTCTCCACCTGTCAACTGTTTGGAGAGCTGCTGAAACTACTTGACCTACAGGTCAATCACAAGGACCACAGTGCACCTGGAGTTACCATGGCAACACTAGAGGTCCTGGTAGCACTGGCCGCAAGCTGCGACAAGAAATACTTGGTTAAGTAAGTCTGTGTTTTTCTGTATAAGGCCATGTTGATATGATTGGCTTTTCACGCACTCATGAATTTTCTTCTGTTTCCCCCCCAAAAGATTTTGATCATACTGCAATCTTACAAAGCAGCTGCAAAATGAGTAAGTATGTGCCATAGATTTCAAAGAAATATTGAAAAACAGTGTCGTACAATGCCAAAATCAATTCCAAAGAAAAAGGAGGAAAGTGTCAAGAAATGAAAATGAATCTATTATTCGCCATATACCAAATTGTACAAAGCAGCTGCAAAATGAGCAAGTATATGACCACATAAATTTTATAATGAAGGAAACTTTTTTGGGGGCCAAACATTTTTTTATGCACTGGATTTAATTTGGGGGG